CCCCAAAACCCCAAAACCCCAAAACCCCAAAACCCCACTAAATGAGGGCAGAATTGATTAAAATAAAAGTACTAAGCATCTCTCAGAGATTTCGTAACGTTAATGAACTAAGCCATGCATATGTCTAGAAGCTCATTCCATTCAGATGGCTTTGCTCTTTGTAATTCAATGCTCATTGGCTTCAGTGTTGATAACCCTTCTGTCACAGAAGAAGGTAGCTCCTGAAGCAGATTATCTGCAATAATTCCTGTCTCAAATTCTTCTTTGACTTGGTCTAGTCAGTAATCTGATGTTTCTGAGTATTTCTTATAGATCTTGTAGATAGAGAAGATAAGCCTAGTAAAGTCTGAAGAAAGTTTTAATCATATAGGATCATCTTCATTCTCTTCACACTTTTCCTCTTCAGCAGCTTCATTTTTGATGATTTCTTGACTAAAGTTGACAATGATGTTAGTGAAGTTAGCTCCTAACTCAAGTTTTGGTTCATTCTCCTGGTTAAGCATCCCAAGATCATTCATGTTGTTTTTGATTACTTCAAAGGCACAGCTTTGGATGACTAGTTGAGGAATTATCATGAACAGTTCATAATCTCTTCATTCAATTTGACTCTTAAAGTCAGGATAAGTCTGACAGAGATAATCTATGTATTGACTCAGAATGATAAAGCAGTTGAATTTCTTGTCATCAGAGAAATATAGCTTTCCTTTGCTCCAAGAATCTTCAAATTTGGTGACTCAGTCCACCAATTCTTGATTATTTTTCAGCTGTGGGTCCACAATTTCTATATTTTCAGAATATTTGCTTAATAGCAGCCTTAGGCAATTGAAAGAGTCTATAATCTCATTATACAGCTTATAGAAAGAAGAGTAGTTTGATGTGCAGAAGGGAGACTGAGTCTTCTCTATCTGCTTCTTCCTTTTCTCAGTGATTTCAAGAACCTCGATTCCTAGGTCATCTCTCCCCTTGCCACTTGTATTAGCAACAGAATTGATTTTTGAGATACAGCAGATGAGCTTCTCTTTAGCACTTTTTATTTTCTTAGACTTTTCTTTCTTTGGTGATTTAGACCGATGAGCTTTATCAGTTTCTGCGAGAGACAGCTCTTTGTTAGCATCTACTGCATGTTGGACATATCTTCTAGAATCAGATTCGATAACCATTAATTCTAGGATGTAATTCTTCTCATAAGTTGTCCATGTTTTGTCGAATCTTTCTAGGAAGGATTTTAGTTTCCTTTGTACTTCCCTAAAGTGTAGGTTGTCCTTGATTTCATATTTAAATAACCTCTCAAATATTTCTAAATCTTTTTGGAAGTTATAGAAGCTTCTTTTTAGTTGTTCTCCTGATTGGAGCACATCTTCAGAGAATACATATTTCTCACCATTAACCCAGAGGTGGGAGTAACCCTCTTGAGCACTATCAAATATTTCAGGAAGGTAAACAGTATTATCCTCTTTGTATAGAATTTTATAAGCTTTCGAGAATCTATCGATGTATTGTCTGTCTCACCTCTCTATTCCCATTGATATGCAGAGATTCTTGAGAGAGCTTAGAAATCTCGCGCATGTAGCTTGCCCTTCTTCCGTTTCGATGTCAAATTTCTCTGTATTCTGGTCCTTTCTGATCATGGATCCGTATAGAGATATCGACTCTTGTAGGTGTGTAAATCAGCTACTCTGGAGGAACAGTTTAATCTCAATATGGCTTATGTCAATTCCTGAATCGTGAGCATTAGTATTATTCTCTGACTGGATCTTTTGGAGTTTCACTGGGCTTCCTCCACTTATGATCAGACGCTTTTTCTTCTTTACTTTGATAGGAGAACCTCCTTTAGTGGGAGAGCCTGCCTTAGTAGGAGAGCTGCGTTTCACAGGAGAAGCTACTTTTACGGGAGAACCTCTCTTTATCCTAGGCTTACCCTTCTGTATCTTAGGTAGGGAGGTACTACCCCTGAGTTTCTCCCTTCTTTGTCGGTGGTTCCATTCAGCTTGGTCTATACTCATTTTCTCTTCTTCATGCTTAAAGATAAGTCTCTTCTTTCTTCCTTTATTTACACGGAGATTTGGACATGGGCTTTTTGCCTAATTCAGATTAAAAACTGCATTTATGAGAGAAATCTTCGAAAACACTTACTTTTAATAACGTCTGGGGACACATTCGAGTAGATAATGTCTCTTTCATACCCATGGCTACTTCTTTTATCAGGACTTCCTCTGGTAGTGGTCGTCATATAATTTCGGTATTCTCCATAATCGAACATCATTGTATCAATAAATAAATTTTAATCGCTTCATTCTTACGAGATTTGTTTGGGGTTTTGGGGTTTTGGGGTTTTGGGGTTTTGGGG